GCCATGGCGAGGGGCGCTCCCCGGCCGGGATTGTTCCGGTGTCCCCACAGGAGCTTGTCCGCACAGCCAGGTCCGGTGCGCTGCCGCCCGCCGCCCCGTTCCCCGAGGCCAAGGCAGCATCCCCACAGGGGATGACGCCATTTTAGTATCCAAAAATCCCCCCGGACGAACTGTACAGGGGACCACCAACCCACAGAGCCACACAAACGCAGGAGGCACCCGCACAGACCCAGCGCTGAGGTACGTGTAGGCGCCCAGTGCTGGGTACCGTGTCCAGGGCATGTCCAAAGCCGGAGCAGCAGTCACACCACTAAGCACAAACCACCAGAAATAACCAAGCAGACCCCTCGTAAATGTAAACGGTGTCTGGGCAACTGAGGGAAAAAAAAAAATCATCAACTTCTGTAAACCAGCACATTTTTTACACATTGTCTTTATTCAAATTTTTTGAATAACAAAGGCCTTCATGCCACAAGCACACAGGCACCACCAACTTCTTTGATCTTCTCCTCAGCTCTTCTACTGAAGAACTTTGCTTTCACAATTACAGGCTGCTTGGGCAGCTTCCCCTTGCCCAGGACTTTGTAGTAGCCCTAGAAAGATTAAAAAAAAACCATTAAGTGTTTGTAATCAGCTGGCAGGCCCCTATATTCAGATCTGGTTTTTAGCGTGCACCAGTTAAAACCAAAATCATGACCACCATGACCTCATTCAGTATCTGTCTCCATCACAAAACTGGTACGAATTAAAGAAAAATACCCTGCAGGCCCTAGTGGGGTTGCTTTTCTTCCGAGAAAAAATGGAAACTGTAAATTGAACTTTTTCTGTAATTTAGAAGCTGGATTTTTTTCCCCATACTCCACACACAGAAAACACTGAGAAATCTGGTAAAGAAGTCACCAACCTTCTCCCACTTTTCTGAGGGAGAGAGCAGTCGGCTGCACTTCCAAGACTACCTACTATTCAATGACTTCTGGTCTGTACTCTTTACCTGTAGGACACTCCGGTACTTCTGAACAGAGAGAACACTGCTTTGCACATCTTAAATGGACAACAGAAGCTTTTGCAAGCTTTCGGAGTAGTACCACTGGAATCCTCTCATTTCATTCCCATCCTTTACATTAAAAGGACAATCATGGTACAAGCTCCATTAATACTATAGCTGTTAGAAGTTACAGGCTGTTAGAAAAAGTGGCACAACTCTCCAACACAGGTACCTTAATTTGGGACTCCAAACATACCCACTTGGCAGACAAGTTAGTGTCACTGATTCGGTGGCTGGCTGAGATATGAGACATCGCAGCCAGTGAATAGGGATCAGAAGTTTATGTCCGAGAACTATAGCACACCAAGACAACCAAACATGTTAAGATGTGACTCTAGTCTCGATGTCAGAGAAGTGACCTTATAAATGAGAACAGTTCTGCCATGTTTTTAAGCACCCTTTCAGTAACACTTTAAACAAGTAATCTTTCACCACCTTCAAAAATAAGGGAAGTCCCTGTCCACAATCACGCACAAGCCTGAGAAAAAGTTCTTACAGAAAAAACACATAACAGCACAACTACCTGTGTAACTACTTATAAGCCAAGATACTGTCCTGAGAAGTTCACTAATATTCAAGCACTGTAGCTTATTTGCAGCTCACCACTTTCCTACTCAAATACACAAGGCTAAGTTACACATGAAGTGACAATGAACTGCAGGTTTGAATACAAGCAAAAACTTACTGAGCGCACAACATCAATGACTGGGGCCAGTCCAGCCTCGTTTTTCGCATAATTGAGCCTTGTCTGTTCACTAACAAGCGTCCATAGTTTATCCAAGTTGACAGTAGGACAGAACTTCTGGTTCCTCTTCAGGTGATAGTGTCTCATGCCTACTTTTCCAAAGTAACCAGGGTGACTGTGAAAGAAACACATTCCTTGTTAGATCATGTTTTTAATCATCCTAAACAGGTAGGACTACAAATCAACACTGAAACAAGCATCTTACTTGATCAAAGTAATAAAAATGTCACATTACACCTTTATTCGTATTAATGCACCTAGTATTTAAGTGTAATAATCATAGTATCCAAACCAAGGGAAAATTATTTTCTTTGAAGTGTTTGTTCTCCGTTGAACTCTCAACTCAATCCCCCTCACTGGCGAGGCTGAGCCGCTCCTGTTGGCTCTCCCAACTCTGTGAATGCAGGCAGGACTTTCAGCACTCCTGTCACTAACCTGGTGACTGACTGAGTCAAGAACAGCCACAGCCAGTGAATATAGATTAGTGGTTACTGTCCGAGTACTCTAGCACACCAGGACAACTGGCAGCGTCCAGATGTGACTCTAGTCTCGGCAATAAAACATCCCTTACCTTTACTGTATGCAGCCAGATAGGATGCAGTTCGCATTTAACATAATATTTTGAATTTACATAACATTTTGCGTGTGCATCATTTAGCAGGGACCACGTTATAACAGGCCAGTTTGATCACATTTACCAAATGTTGCACTGAACTCTTAAAGACACCTGGTTTAAGTGAAAAGGTCCTTGATTCTAGGATCAAAAGGGACATGAATTGACTGTAGCTATAATGCCACACTTCATGTTAGAGGAAAAAATACATAGGATTGTAGGGAATTTTGTTTATTCACATATGAAAGTTAAGTTGTTTCCACTTCAGGAACATACATTTTGCTAGTGCATGTTTCAATGTTAGCTTACTATTTATCGAAGTTAATCCTGTGATGGTGCATACCACCAGCATTACCACGCCCTCCTGGATGTTTCCTGTGTTTGCCTAAAACAAAAAGAAAGTTTGTTACACTAAGAATACTATACTTGAGCTTAGAGGTACGTTCAATGTCAATTTAAGCTAATTATTCTGATTCTATTCCCTCTTCTACATCCATCTCACTTCAGCGAGATGAGCCAAATGAAAACTAGCCCTACAGGAGAAAAAAACATAACCACAGCATGCCTCTGGTTAGCTTACAGAGTACAAGACACCAGTGCTAGCACAGGTGGAACGACAAGAACAGGCAGGAACGGCCAGAGTTAGAACAGACACAGTACTGCCCCTTAAGCTTAAGGTGTCACACAACCACACTCAGGCAGCACGTATTACCCGAGTGCTACTGAAGTTACAAATCCAGTAAAGCCTAAAACAACACACAAGGCTTCGGGGCAGCCCACCACTGTGGCACCCCA